AATTACCGAAATTATAAAGGTGTTGTGTTTGTAGGAATTTACTTTAACTTTGATTTATTCTGCACTTTGTGTCGTATTGTATTATATACGACACGTGTTAATATCTTACAAAATTTAAATTAGCACACATTCTGTGCTGCTCGTTATAATGGTGATAACTGTTTTACGAAAACCAGACAATTTTTCATGCTATTAAAGGTCCCATCTTGCTCAGAATTGAAAAATAAATCATAGATATTAAAACGTTATATCTTTACATAATTAAAAACTGATTATATAAGTATTTGGTGATTTGTGTATAGTGTGTTTCTGTTTCCAGAGTGTTGTCAAATGCGTTAAAGAAGGAGCTCGAAATCTATTTTTAAGCTTATGTTGTTCCTCGGTAATTTGTGTACAGTATATAACAGAATTAATTATATAAAGATATTAAAATTTTTCAAAAATGTCCAATAATTAGCATCTACCGTTAGTAAATATAATTTGCACCGGCGAGAAATAAAACCAAGAAATCTCGTGATCGGTCTTTCATGTGTCAACTGTTTCGTCAATCTACAATTAAGACAAAACTACTGTCAAACTCTATCAAACGTTTTACTTTTTATTGTAGTTTCAAACAATCGTGTACACTTGTAAACGCATAAAATCCATCGTCTACCGATCAAACGAACATTCTTTTATTGTTTCCTTTTGTTTAATTTTGCTTCTTTTTTTTCGACGAATTTCAAGTTTCGGAAATATCGCAGAACAGCCACGTTAACGGACGTGACACCTGACCGTATTTCCCCGCCCCCCCCTTTTGTACGGGTACGGAATTTTCATTGTTTTTTATTGGATAACGCGAGTGGCTGTGGACCAACCGAGAGACATCGATTGAATTTCAAACGAAATTCAAATTACGTTTAATTTGGTTAGCCAACGAACGGGCAAAAGCGAAACGTGCGTGTATGTGTGTGCACGCCGGTTGCGTGCAGTTTGGATTCGTAGTTCGGGGGATTCGGTGCGTTGTACGGATTCTATTATCGACCTGCAGCAGCCACGGTTCATTAAAACGGCATGAAACTCCCAGAGACAACTGTTTTGCGGTTCTTCTGTTCCGCACCAAAATTCACCGTCCCCGCAATTCTCGCGTGTCTATCGGCGTCAGGTTCGATGAACGCGTCCCATGTCACGGGTGTCGTACCTTCGGTGTACATGAGGTGACAAAAGGTTAGCTAGAAGCAGAGAAAGCAAAAAAACTTATATAATTGAACTGCTGATCTTTATGCAAGTACAAATTTTCATAAGTTAATCTAGTGAATTGAAATAATATCAGAGTCTTTATGTCTTTTATTAATCCTGTAATGGTGAGGACCGAGTTGTATGCGATCTAAGTTACAGTTCCTCTTGTACTGTCCTCACGTTTTATTATTCTTATGTTATACTCGTTTTAAAATATTTTTTATTATTCAGTAAACGTTTAATAATTATATTATTATATGTTATGTAACTCGATTATTATTTTTTGTTATGTAGATAAAGAAAAATACAAATTTAAGGTATACATTTTGGACCCGTCTGAAAATACCAAAATGAGCTCGGGCGAATCCAAACCCACCTTATCGAGTACGACCTTAAAACGCACTTTATCATTCGAGGATTAACCCTTTGTGGCCCTACAAATGTTCAATGTGACTGGGCAACGATTTTATTCTAGTAGATCCAATGTCCAGTGTGGCTATTTCTTCCCAGTTTCTTCGATTTAAGTGCGGAGCTGACGACAGTATGAAAAAAAATAACGGACCCCAAAGGATTAAAGGTTTCATTGCGCCTAAAGTAAATTGAAGTTTATACTAATACTTACATTTGAGATAAGTGCATAAAATTTATAAACTATAAATCTGAATCGTAATCTGATTTGTTTGATAATACGTAAGAAACTAATCGTTCAGAACTGTGGTGTGTAAGAATTTTTTATGGCCGTGGAATAGAATCTATAGTCTTTTTTCTGAACGTCAGAAATACTTTATGGAACCAATGTAGTCGTTATCACAGAATATTAGGTTAGCCCATCAATTATGTGGCTTTTCTGAGGATTGAATTTAAAAGGGTATAGTTCAACATGATCGTCACTTATCATCAGCAACTATCAAAGAATTGTCACAGCAGTCGGAAATATATTATTCGTTAATTACTTACAAGAAATTGTTTAATCTCACTAACATTCACAGTGAAAAAAACAGCATTATTTGTGCGATGACCTAGTATTAGGTTGCTGTAATAATTGTGATCCCTGATAAAAAATCATTGATAAGAGATTCTATTTTATCAATGTTATTTATGTACGAAATTGTAATGTATATTTATCTGCTGATCTCTATATTTTCTAAATAATATATATAATCCAATATTTAATAATTCGGTATAATACTGAAACTCTTAAATACAGTATTGGAAGTATTTATTGCATCACTCGAATATTAAACGCTGAGGTATACCTCTGTTGTTATTAATTAAAACATAGTTATTGGAGCAAATGTATTGCTCACCATCTCTGCCAACACAAGTTGGATACGGATCATTTTATCAATCATATTGCTATGAAAATCGTGCGTACCTACTACGTAAATTTTGAGAGTGGTGCAATAAATATTTCCAATACTACAGTTCGGTATTCAATCTCCATTTATGCCATAAACGCATAATTTTTCATGGGGATATTTAAAAGTGATCTACGTTCACGACTCTGAATTTAATTAGAGAATAAAACTGTAGAGAAATTTTATGGGGATGAAGTCACGTGTCATTACGCCCTGGCGGGAAATACACAAAGTGGCAACGTGAAGTATTATAATAGGGAAGTAATATACGAATAGACGTGGGTGGATGGCGGGGAACATCCATATTGCACGGTTACTGTTTTCTTTGACGACTAAAAAAGTTCGTTCGTGGAAATTTACGAAATTCGTTCCTGGCCCGAGATGCTTCCCGCCAAAGAAAACACTGTCGCGACGGGAGAGATTAATTTACGCCTCGACATTACGATCTCACACACTCGGCCGGCATAAGAGTGCATCGCGATAAAGCAAATATTCTGACCGCAGTTGCGAACAGATGAAACAATATGTTCACAATTTTTCAAAATTATTAATAGATCGATAATACTGGGGAAATTAATTTCAGAGAGAGATCGAACTGGTCTGAACATTTAGGAAGGAACAAAGTAAGAATGGAAAGTAAAGGCGATTGTGTGCCTCGAAATAAAGCAAAATGATTACGTAAATGATTTTGCAGAATTTTGTATTAGAGGGTGATTATGAGAATGATGGAAATATGGAACTTTGTAGATTAGTTTCTCTTGTCTAAGAAATTTATGTAGCTGTGGAAACTTGTTAGATCTATGAAATATACGACCAGAAAGAAGAAAGAGAGGTTATTGAAAATGTTATCTAATTACAAATTTCCTTACTTTTTTATCTCTGTTCCTTGAAGCATTAAAGCGTATTAAACTTAATTTTCACGAGCTTAGTTTCATGAAAAGTGTCAATAACGTCTAAAATGATGCACTAACTTAGTCTTCGTATACGAATCTGAAAAACTGAATGATATTGAATATTTCAAATCAGTTTTCATTTTTTTTTTATTTTACACCATTTAAAATGAGTTTCTAATGTACTTACAGTCGCATTGTTCTGTTAATCGAGGTATAAGTTATTCAATGTTTCTATGAACGGTGTTCTATTTATTACGATATTGTATTCGACCTTGTTTTTATACCGTCAAAGTTATCTGTTCCACCACCTGACGCATTATTCCGGTAAAATATATGACACCCACCCTTCATGAGGATTATTAGTTACGGCCAGGTTAGGAATCACTGGACTGAAACGTATCCCCGAGAAAATTAATTGCACGACTTCGAGACGAGGACGCGTTATAACGCTGACCAAGCCGTTTCAGATAATAGATGGATACCGTTGGCTAGATAATAAATGGATAGATGCAACTGAAGCTGTCACCGATAATGGACTGTATTAAGTGTTGGAAAAGAAAGGAGCAGTAAAACCAGCCTCCACGTACAAAGGGAGTCTCTGATAGTAGAAGAATCTGTCTCGTTAAACATTCTCCTGCTTCGTTCACTTTTGAAAGTTGTGCATTCGATATAAAAAATTCAGCGAGATAAAAGATTTAATGAAATCAGTAAAGTAGGTAATTGTTACATCTTAGTATATCAAATATGAAAGGAATATAAAAAGGCATTATGAACTTTATGATGAGCTGGCATAAACATAATTTCAGGGTTACTAAAATTTGGTGACTACATTTATGTAATATGTGTATAGTAATCGAAGTGGCCTAAAGTATATTTGTTGAAATGTGACATTTTCTTCGAATTATGTCGAACTATCGAATTATTTTTTCGAATTATCGAAACATAATTATTCTTCTCACGAATGACAGTATAAATTAATTGCTAATTTCGATCACTTAACCATTCAATCGTGTTTTAGTTATATTATTTTATAATACGCACTTTCCAAAATTTTGTATGTAATACGGTTTACAGAATATTCTGTAGGAGATATTGAATGGAAATTTTAATTTTTTCCATAACAATGATCACTACCTTTGAATAAAACATGTTAATTGTATACGGTATCGTGTCAGCATTACATTGCATTGAATGTTTCACTGTGAACGCTGAACAATATAATTACTGGTGATATGACTCATATAATTCACGGCATTTATGCTTCGTCCATTGTATGTCAGTCAAGTAGAAAATCAGAATGATCCCATACGCTCCCTTACGTTTTAATTTATTAGATGAGGAGAAATCGAGCCAATAAAAACGTTTCTTTCGTTTGTGGATCGAAACTCGAAAGGAGAGAGTGTTACTTTGACACTGACGTAGATAAACCTGAACGAAATTATCATCTGGATCTGTCTGTACTGAGAACTATTTAATATTCCACGTTCAATCCATAAACAACACTTTTAATTTCATACTTTATCTGTTACAGATCAATGTGGAAAGTGTCGAGCCAGCACTAAGAGATTAAATCTGAACAAGTACTGCAAAAGAGATTACGGTAAGTTTCAGATATTAACAAACTGTCCAGTATGTTTACAAACTCGTCAACGATAATAGAATTGGGGGAATAGTTCGAAATAGGATAAGTCTATATAAAAAAAAATAATCAAAACTGTACAATAGAAGTTTTTCGTAAAAAACTTTCCTTTCGTGTACATCAATATTGAAAATCCATCATTCACTTCACCAATTTAAATATTATTTCATAAACTTAATAGATGTAGTAAGTCTTTTAATGGGTAAAATTAATAATTCAATAAATAATTTCAAATTGCAAACTTCTTCCCGCTCTTTCCTTTTTTAAAAATTGCGGCGGGACGGATGTTATTGAATCAGCATAGACCTTTCATTTTGCTGAAAAAGTAATTAAAATGCGAATTGTAATATTAAATATGACAAAATGTAGTATATTCCTTATTAGTACACGTAATACACCATCGACTAATTTTATACTTCCTCTTCCGCGAATCGTTTTAGAAAACACGATAAACGCCAGGGACTTATAAAACAAACCGATACCATTTGCGGCCACAGATAGAAATGTTATACAGTGAGTAAAAGAAGTATTCGTACACCCTTTAAAACAGAACAACTCTTTCAAAATTGGACCAAGTGACTTGAGTTTTTTTATGAACTTAGAAGGATTAGTTTACTAAATGATGTGTTAAAAAAATGTTGAAAAATTTACGACTTTTCAGAATGTCGAAGAAAATAATAAATGTGGTTTTTTACAACTTTTTTGTCTAAGACTGTAATGAAAATTTAATAAATACATTTCGAAGTTTTGTGTCTGTTATATACATGCTGCAACTGATTGAAATCGGTTAAAATCGAAACGAGTAACAGGCATCGAAAGATGTAAGAATTTTTAGATATAAAGACACCTCTCGATTATCGTCCCAAACTCGGGTCCGCGCAGAGACAATAATCAAATAGGGAGAAATGCTTCAGACCCTCGTAAATTGTTTTTTTTTTTCCGAAGTCGGAGCCTCGGCAACAAAAGCAGAGGGTCAACAAAGTATGAGCTTGATAGGTTCCACCCCCCCCCCCTAATAACGCCTGGACAATAATCGTGTAGAACAAGCCAGACAATAATCGAGAGGATTCTGTATTATAATTGTAGGTCACAAGTCGGGAAAAATTGCGATTTTCAACATTTTTATCCGTTTGTATCTGCTAACAATACTAACTGACTTCGATGAAATTTTCAGCATGCATATAACTAACATAAATCTAAGCAACGTATTTGTTAAATTTTCATATTAGAATCTCAGATAAAAAAGTCGCAAAAAGCGACCTTTACTATTTTCTTCGCGATTCCGACCAATTGCAACTTTTTCAACATTTTGTTAACACATAATTTAGTACACTAATACTTCTATGTTCACAAAGAAACTCAAGTCACTTGGTCCAATTTTAAAAAAGTTGTTCTGTTGTAAAGGGTATATGAATACTTTCTTACCCACTGTAATTTGCTTTCGCGTGGCTTCCCTTCGCGATTTATACACTCTGCAACCGCTAATGGCATTACTAGTTTTTGATCCGCGGTCACAAGTGAAATGATTGCGAGTCACTCCGCTGCATACCGTGTAGCATAACTTCGTTCGGTTCGCCGTAAACGGTGAAGCTAGGCTCTTCCATGTTCGCGAACGAGACGACTGCAAGTGGAACAGCTCCTTTTATGTCCTATCACTGAACGAAGAAAATCTTCGTGGTTCTTATTTCAATCAATAATAAATATTATATTAAACATTGACAAGTCAACGAGTTGAAATGGTAAATGATACAAGTGCCAGGAGTGAAGATTTTCAGAATAAAAAACACGAGTTTGTTAATTTTGGCATTTACGACCTTTATAGATTTAGATAGAAATAAATGGCAAAAATATATCTGATTAGATCAGAGACAAGTCTGAGTTCTACTTTCACTATCGTCACATAAAATTTCAAAGCTTTTGAGTATCTACTTTGAATGGGATACTTAAGAAATTATTTTTTATTTTTTTTTTACGTCTGCGTCGTTTACCATTTCAACTCTTCAATTGTAATTTTAAAAGAAGAAGTACTATTCAGTTCCAGGAACTATTTATAACAGAACGAAATATTTATGTGAATTAGAATCGAAGGGGAGATAGGAGTGAATTGAACCTTGTTAAATGCAGTTAAATCAAACTTTATTTGTTATTATGAAAGATACTATTACGTCCTAGCGACTAGAACAGTAAAATCTCGATTGAAACGAACAATTATAACTGAGGGAAGGGAGTCTCCGTTCAATTAAAGTGTCCGTTAATACCATTTACACGAAAATGAAAGGCCACTGACATACTACCTATCTACTTTGAAAGACGATACAGTCTATTTACATGGAATTCTATCTAGGAAATAAAAAATCCGTAAAATCAAGAATTTATTATATACTTATTTAGTACCGTAATACAAATCCGAAAATTGAGGTTTTACTGTATTCACGCGGCAAAGTAATTAATCCGAATTAACACAATGAAATTGATCGATTTGTCTTTTTTTCAGCTATCTTGGGTAGAATAACAGAGAGACACAAAAAGAACGATGGTTCTCCGAGTGGTACAAGCGTATCCGGTTCAGTTTGGACGCGATTCACTTTGAACATCGATTTCATTTACAAGAAGGCTCCGAATTCGAGGATCCGACGCGGTGATGTGTTCCTCTATGTTCACTCGGCTGATTTGACCTGCAGGTGCCCGAAAATCAAACCGAACAAGTGAGTTGTACATTACACAATAGAATGTCCCAAAGCGATGTTACAGACGTTTTATTGATCGTTGGTTAATTTCTTATTCTTTCTCAATCGATTATCGTAACGTTTCTTTTCCCGATGATATTAAAAGATAGACAAAACGTGATTATAGAGAGAGAAATACTTACATACTGTAACACTTACATATTGTTCTAGTAATTATTAAATTACTACATTTCGAATTGAATTCGTATAAAGTCAGATTAAATCTACCTACTAAGAAATTATGAACTAAACTATACAATTTGTCTGCATAAAATTTCTTTTGGTGTATTCGAAAATTATAAAAAGTGTAAGGACTTCGTAAAGATTCCCATTAATTATTGGGTCGAGTCTTAAATAACTTCCATTTCTCTTTTTAAATCTGTTTCTATCGACGAAAGATATTAATTAATTCTCGTCTGATGTATATCCTGCATCACTATTAAACTTATCTGTTATTGTTAAACGTAAGAATATTTTTTATTGCAATTTTTTGAACATCGTAAACAACTTATGAACTTAATTTAATATGAAGTACAAACTAAGTGTAACTAATTAATAGTGTTTGAACGTTCTTTATATTTTCATTATTATATAAAAATATTTTATATATTTATGATCTCGAATATTTATCGTCGGTATTAACGTTTCCAGTAATTTTATTGAAAGTAATTTCCCAGTCATTTTGTATAACATACAACCATGGGCGTAGCCAGAGGTGTGCAGAAATAAAGTAGCTTTTGCCCCACCCTACTAGAAAAAAATTGGATTTTGTCCCCTCCCCTCCCTTCCCATAGTTATCAAATTTGTGCATAATATTTAATATTGCAGTATATTTTGAAACACGACCAGCAGCCTCTAGTAAGAAAACGCATACATTTTCAACGACTCATGACTTTAAAAACAAAAGAAAGTTTGTCTGGTTACGTACGGCGTTTTTCACTGTGGCAGTCGATGTGTTAATATTTTTGCCCCCCTCTGATTAAAAACCTGGCTACGCCCATGCATACAACTACATATTAAGCGAAACAATTTATTATTTGTACGATCACTTTAGAGTACATTCATTCAACTAACGCTCAAGTCTGATGCAAATCCGTCCACTGTGAAAACCATCTGTTATCGTGCAACACGTACTCGACTGTCAACACCACCCTCAGCCTCTTGACACTATATTGACACTATAGATCCCATACTACACGGTATACATGGTTTTCGAACATCATCGTATACTGCGCGGCCTTGTATACCATAAGTGGCGAAAAACCCATTTAACAGCTTGTATCTTCAAGGCTGTCGCTCTTCCACTTGAGTATGCTTCAAATATCTCACATTATTCCTTTCACTTCCTACGGTCCCTGTTTCGATATACAATTGAAATCACGAACTCACAAATCATTCTTCCAGACGTTTTTTATTAACTATCGAACTAAAGGTCTATCTCTTCAGAATGCTTCCTTTTTTCCTAATTTATGGAACGTAAACAAAGTAACATAAACCGTCAACAATCCTTCGACGACGCTTCGACGATCCAACGACTGTCGACGAACCATTGTCGATACTTTGACGACCTTTCGACGACCCTTCGACGACTCTTCGACGACTCTTCGACGACTCTTCGACGACCCTTTGACGACCCATTGACTGTCGACGATCCTTTGACGACCCATCGACCGTCGACGACCGTTCCACGACCCATCGACTGTCGACGATCCTTTCACGACCCATCGACCGTTGACGACCCTTTCACGACTCATCGACCGTCGACGACCCTTTGACAACCCATCGATCGTCGACGACCCTTTGACGACCCTTTGACAACCCATCGATCGTCGACGACCCTTTGACGACCCATCGACTGTTGACGACCCTTCCACGACCCATCGACCGTCGACGACCCTTTCACGACCCATCGACCATCGACGACCCTATCACGACCCTTCGACGACCCTTTGACAACCCATCGACCGTAGACGACCCTTTGACGACCCATCGACCGTAGACGACCCTTTGACGACCCATTGACCGTCAACGACCCTTCGAAGACCTGTCAACTGTCGACGATACTTTGGCGACCCTACCATCAGTAGGTATCGCGATGGCTAAAGTGGTTTACGTTCGATGGAGAATCAGAAACGCTCAAATAATTCTTCAATCAACTACACTTCCATTACAATATTATAATATAAAATCCAGATATTTATAAAATCCGACACTGCAATTTAACCTCCGCTATCGTTTACTACTTAGTCGACGAACTTCCATGTGCTTGTACATACAAGAAATTGACTGATACGCCAGTCTAGGTGGTTTTCCCTGTATATCAGGGGAGTTGATGGAATAACCGAATGCCCCATTGGGTTCGAGTCGTGGTGTCGATGGTCCAGCATGTGATCTCACACGATAACTTGGTGTTGACGATGACGTTTGGCAATCAGAACGAAATGAAATTCTTACGATTGGTAACGTTACAACGGTAACGAAAGTAACGGAAAACGTTTTGAAATTTCCAGATCGTACTTGATTCTTGGCCAGGAGAGCGACGGCGGTGGTCAAGGTGGGCTGACGGTGACACAAAGGTCGATCGTCATCGAGTGGCGCGACGAATGGCACCGCCGAATGCGACGCTTCCAGCGGAGGGCGAGATCGTGTAATTGAACTAATTCGCGTCGTACCAAGGAAAATAGACGGAGAAAGAAGGGAAGATAGAGAGAAAGAGAGAGTGAGTGAAAGAGAGATAGAGGGTGAGAAAGAGAGATAGAAATGTAAAGAGAGAACGGAAGTGGAGAGAACTGAGGGATAGAGAAATAGAACTCATATTACCTTTACTCTCGTATTTGTAGAAAGGTGCACGTTCATTTTCAAACTGCCAATAGCTGTATGTACTCTCGCATACCCACCATTTTGCACGAAATACTCAACGACGTCCTAAGATTAACGATAAGTACCGAACGCATACGAAAGTGGAACGCAAGTGGGATTTCGATGGTACATAAATGCAACGTTAACGGAGAGAAGTATTAGTTTATTCGAACACACGGAGAGATTTTGGAAAGCGAATATCTATATAGAAGAATAGGTTTGTTTTCTTTTTTCTTTTGGTGATTTTGTCATTGGTATGTTACGTTTGTCAACGTTATAAGGATCTTTTTATAGAAATATGTATTGCACTGAGTTTTGAGTAGATGTTCTTAATCAGAAAGGAATTGTTTAAATTATAATGATGGATTAAAATTCAATGGATTGTTGAAGTACCATTTGTGGAATTAATTGCTCATGATTGTCAAAATGGAAAAAAGATTGAGAATTTTTAATAAGAATTTTAATTAAGAATGCGTTGGTCTGTTAAGAGTTTTTGCTGTTACTATCTTTAACACGTATAATAATACAAAGTACTTAGTGTGTATTATGCATACTAATTCGAAAAGTATTCTTTTTTACCGTAAGATACTTCTATTTAATGATTCCACTAATGATAAAATAATTTATAATCAATAACGCACAGATTTTAGATAAAGAACGTTCAATTCTTAGAAATTTATATTGAAATGTCTTTGATACTCATTTACAAATGAAGATGAACAAAATCCTGCTCGAACACATTCATCACCAAAACTAAAGTTCTAGCAAAATGTTTGTAATTATTTCAAAATGTGAACAAATAACGTTTTAAGATTGCAATTTTTAATACTGTTCTAACTACTTTAATAATCCCTGCATTTAATCTTCTGTGAACACGTATTGCCAAAAAATCCAAGTAGAATAATTTAGAATTTGATAAATATTACAGTTTCAGATTATATTCATGTATTGCAAATTTAAGCTTTTCTTCTATATAGAAGTACACAATGTTTAAAGTGCATATTTGATATACAAAATTAACGTTATATTGTCGCAATTTTCTAAATAACCTTTTCGATGGCTTATACACCCAAACGTAGAAAAGAAACAGTCGACTCCAAATGCACAAAAAATGGAATCGAAACTTTCTCCAATTTTCGACTCGTATATTCCAAAAATTACGTTCAATACCAGACAGACTTCCCACGTGCATTTCATCGAGCCAAAAATGGAATATCTTGTACTAAATTAGGCTTAGAATTTATATCGATATAAATTATACCACTTCCTGTGAATTTATCATCTTTACACGCAATCGAATCGGGCCGCGACACGAACTAAAGAAAACGGCGGTCTCGTTCCCTTCACGCGAAGCCTAAAAGAATCATTGAAGTTAGACGACGAACATTACGTTATCGCATAAAAGTGATTCTTAAACTGACTTTTTTTTTTATACGATATTTATGTTCAATGTTGACGAGTACCTACTCATTCTTTTTTGGAATTTTACACTTTTTGGTCCCCCTTGCTCAAATGTATAAGGAACAAATTTATAAGAAATCTATTCCATGATAATGTATCGATGCGAATCGAGTGTGCAGTATTGGATAGCGACCTGTGTAGAATTAGTTGTATCGCATATCAGTTGTAACTACCGTTTCGTACAAATGCGTGATTTTTCGATAGTTTGTTACTGCTGGTGTGTTACGAATTCGAGGAGCAATACCACCACCGAACGTACAGTGACAGAAAAAAATGTATCCATATACCGATTACTTTTCCCATCAATTGACAGTATTGTTTTCAGTGTAACGACAGGTTAAAAATAATTTCCATCTGGCTATACTTTAGTATAAAGCTACCTTGTTTTAGTATATTTCGAAGTAAATCATTTTTAATCTAAGATTGTATGGAGTGAAAATAGTACATATTGCCAATTCGTGATAAGTGTCACTACATAGTGTATGGATACTTTTTCCTTCGACTGTATATCGGCCGGTTAGTGCCACAGTGTTTTAATTCTTTCGATTCAAAACGATGCTTTGATCGAAGAGGTATATTCGTGGAAATTTATTATGCAACGTAAATGTTCAAAAGAGACACGAAAAACCGATAGAACCATCGCTTTCACGGAAAATCGACGACGCGTTATTGTAACAAAATGAAAATTGCAAATATAATACGACTGTACATATTCGATAAAAACTTGTTTTTCCGTCTCTCCACGGTGTACGTAAAATCAAGGAAGACTGCTTAAACCTGGTTATTATATCTTCTGTTTGTTTACCGAGCTCACGTACTTAAATAAATATGAAATTAATAACCGACATTCGGCGAACTGGTAACTTTACTAAGGATGTTTACACAAAGTTACAACTTCGTAGACTAGTTTACGAAAAGAGAAACTTATTGAACTTATTTATTGAGTCAACAAATAATCGTCTTATCAGGTAAAGAAGAAAATAATGACTATGTTCAATTTTATTAAAATTTGTGTTCAATTTTGTTTTACTTTTTGATAAACTCCAGTGTCTAATAATCGAGAAAAATAAATATCACCTGTTTAAAGTTTTTACAGGCTCAGAATAAATTGATAATCTTATTAAAATATGTGTATATCTCTTTTGTGGACTGAATTTTAAACAATAGTATTGTACAAATGCAAAAAATCCAGACTCTAATGATTCAACTATGAATGTTACTGCAAATAAGGGTTTCTATAAACTAACTAACAATAAGAAGAAACAAACAATAATGTAATCGGTTTATAAGAGATTTTTCCTCGTTAAAACTGATGCAATTCTTTTCTGGAATTGAATTCGCAGTCAACAAATGTACAACCTGAATACTTCAGACAACATTGTAAAAATATTCTGAGCATCATGTTTTACCGATTTACCGTACTAACTACAAGCTATATAAATTTCTATAAATAATCGAACACCTTTGTGTCAACCTGAAAGATTACATTTTCATTTGAATTTAGCAGGCACGGATAAACAAGTTTTTATTGCGCAATCTTTGTTAGTTTTTAATTCGACATAAGATTACGAAGTGAATAGAGGCATACGACGTTACAAGGTAATTCATAATATTAACAATCTAAATGACATTTATTATGTAATTCTGTCGCATCGAGAGCGCATCAATGGTGCATTTAGTATCGCGAATCGTTCCTGGACATTTTAAACGCTCCATCTATCTCATTGCAATCGTGCGATCGATCGAAATAACGGAGGGTCTCACGATCGTTTTCGAGTAGCACACAGTCCTTACCCTTCCCCCTGCCCTCGGGCTTCCCGTCTTTCTCGCGAACACGTGCATCATCCCCTTTCTTTATCTTCGTTGGTTTCTTTTTTTTTTTTTTTATTTATTTATTCCCCTCCCATTCGGTTACTATCCGCGGATCGATCACATCTATATAGAAATATATACGCGTACGTTGAATGTAGATTTTCTTGTACATTTTTCTATATAAATTATTAAGATTTCTTTCTAGCTGGTATTATTAGCGGTAGTATTATTATCGGTAGTAGTGGTATTAGGTATAGCAATAACGATTTATCGACGAGAAATAGAGGCTAAGCACCACCCCTCGAAAGATGTGTCGAGCGTATCGTTTATCGAAGAAGTCCACGGATTGTCTGCTTGTCGCGAGAGAAGAAATTGTCGTAATCACCGTCACGATTGAAATTATGATAATTGTCAGTTTCATTTTGTCGACGTCCCGACACTTCCGTCGATACGTCAGGGAAAATGATATTTATTTTCACTTGACATTATTTTTATCAGGACCGTTTCGAACGACAATTATATTCGAATGTGAATAATTCGTTCTTTTTTTTTTTTTTAAGGTTTTCGTAGAATAAATCGTTCTTCCGATAGATCGGGTTCGTTCTTTCGCGTATCATTCGTGTATACTTTGACAATAAAAATGTCCCAGCAGCGGGCATTTTATAGATATTACGCGAAAATTGTTATTATTGAACGCAACCGGGTGTATTATTGACAATTGACGATGTTTATCGCGCTCGAGATATATAAGTTCCTAATTGCGACGGATATCTGTGGCGAGTAGCTTCCATTCCGAAGCAACATTTCGAAGCTAACTTGCGTCGGAAATGGCTAAAAGGATGTTCGAAAAAGGTTTCTCCGAAAGTATTGTCTTCGTTTTCTTATACACACATGGCTAACGACAGCAGAGAACAACATTTTATTCGACTAATAATTTTTTTTTTTGTCCTGTTTTTGTTTACTTTTAGCCAACAGAAAAATTGCTCCTATCAAGCGACGATTGAAATCGGTACGTAAATGAAAAGTAAACATTTTTTTTGGAACAGATCAAAATTTTCACGTGTCCAATTGAAGAAATTCTACGAGTACCCCTCAACTGTTATCTAGTTAATAATTTATCTATCCATTCTTTAAAATACAAATCCGTTAAAGAAAACATTTTAAAATTTCGACAGAATTCAATGTAAATTCGAAACGTTTCAGAATCTATCCCGAATTCATCTGCCCCACGAAGATAAACGTATAAGAACAATGTCCGTGAGGAATTGTTCGAACTGATTGAAACAATTGTACGTTCCTTATTTGATTAAATAAAAAAGAGACTTACTATCGTTACACTCGAAAGTTCGCATAAAAGGCTTCGGTTCGCAGCAGCGACATTCGTGACCTCTCGAAAGGAAAGTAATTGAATGCTGTTTTACGTGCCGTAATCAACGATGTATCTATGTACTTACGATATTAATGAGTATCGAGCGCTTCGAGCACACGTGCGATCCTATAATCGTGCATTACGAGAAAAGGTGGCATAGAATGGTATAACGTTTAAGTTTCGGTTTACGTG